CATATGCATTAGAAGAATGTCATCTAGTGAGCAAAATGCAATGTTTCACTTCTGGGGATAGAACTCAGGGCCTCATGTGTTAAGCATGTGTTCTGTTCTTGCTTTGCCTTACCCTGGGCACATTATAAAGTCTTTTTAAAACTATTTTTTGAGACAGGGTCTCTGTGTAGCCCTGGCTGTCCTGGAACTCCCTGTAGACCAGACTGGCCTCGAACTCACCTCCTGCCATTAAAGGCATGTGCCACTGCACTCTTTTGTTATTTTTCTCACTGTTGTGGTAAAAATGCTCAACAAGGAAGGGATCATTTTGGCCAACAGTTTGACAGGACCCATCACGGAAGGGAAGGCATTGCAGCAGGAGCATGAAGGTAGCTGGGCACCCTGCACCCACAGTCAGGAAGGTAGCTGGGCATCCTGCACCCACAGTCAGGAAGGTAGATGGGCACACTGTATCCACAGTCAGGAAGGTAGATGGGCACACTGTATCCACAGTCAGGAAGGTAGATGGGCACACTGTATCCACAGTCAGGAAGGGAGCTGGGCACCCTGCACCCACAGTCAGGAAGGTAGATGGGCACACTGTATCCACAGTCAGGAAGGTAGCTGGGCACCCTGCACCCACTGTCAGGAAGCAGAGAGAGAAAGAGAGATGGGTGCTGCTCCTCAGCTTGCTTTCTCATTTTTATTCAGTCTCAAACCTCAGCCCCTGGGATGGTGCCACCTGGATTCAGGGCCATTCTTTCCTCCTCTTTTAACCTTTCTGGAAACCCTCCAGGACAAGCCCACAAGTATATTTCCATGGTGATAGTAAATTCAGTCAGGTTGACAACCAAGATTAGGCATCATAGACCCTGAAACAATTTGTTATATTTGTAGCCAAAAATTATGAGCTCACCAAGATGCATAGCGTGCTAATGAAGCAATGAAATCCTCCACCTTTTCCCTTACCTGGCAGACAGGTCATTGGACGAAGCACCTTTCCTGGTCTCTATATGCATATAAAACAAGGTTGAACTATAATTCATTTCTTAGTGTGTGTGTGCCTTTTTGTGTTTACACCTGTGTGGAGGCCAGAGGTCAATGGCAGTTATTATGTTCTACCTTATAATTTTCTTTGAAACAAGAGGCTCTCGTTGAACCCAGAACTCAATAATTCAGCAAAACTAGCTGGTCAGAAAGCCCCAGGCATCTTCCTATCTCTCATTTTCTAGCCCCAGGGCTATAAATACACAGATTCTGGGGATGGATACCTGTGCAGCAAGCACGGTATAGACGAAGCTGTCTCCCTAGCAGCCAATTTCCAAGTTCATGTGTTTACATGGCTGTACTATTAACACAGCAGAGTATTGGTCTAAGTCCACCTGCTCACCACATCTCCTTTGTCAGAATGAAATCTCTGAGGCAGGCTGGCTTTGGAAAGAAAAGAAGTTGAATTAACTGATAGTTCTGGGGATTCAAGGCATGGTGCTGATCTCAGCTTAGCTCTGCCTAAGTCCTTTTTCAGATGGTGTCACAGAGTGAGGAGCTTGTGTATGATGAAGAACTTGTTTGTCACACAGGAAGCCAGGGAGGCGGGGGTTCCATAATCTCTAGTCTACCAAGCGACCTTCCACTAGGCTCCTCTTCTATGTTCACCTCAACAGTAGCAAGCATATCTCCAACACAGGAGCCCTGTCAAACAACTTCAAGGCGTATTCAGACCGTAACAGCTAATTGATATTCATATTGAGTTATATTCATTGCCATGTATTTAGAACCAAAAGCATAAGCAGGTTTTCCATCTAGCCTAGTTGAACTCTTCTGTTTTATGCAATCAGTTTCCACAAGTCAAGATTTATAATGCTGGACATACATAGTTTGGTTTTAGTTTTCAAAATGGTCTTTACTGTCCTATATTGCAACTGAGTAAATTGGATATGGCAAATGTATATGCTGCTGTAACACTGCATATAATTTAGGATTGTGCTGTTTTGGCTCAGTATTCGAACTCAAGGTCAGATGGATTCAAAATGTGACATGGGATACTTTGTTCTTTTATCCTTCTAGTTGGTGTTTCTTTTAAACCTGTACTGCAGTGTATGAACATTCAAGGAGATAATTACAGCATTGACAAGTATTAACTTCAAGATAAGGCCAGTGTTTAGTTTGGTTGTTATTTATTCTCATCCTTGAAGGCATATGCTAAAAATTATTCCTTCTTGGTTGCCATGGGATCAGAGGAACTACACAGAGGAGGTCATTTTATTTTTTATTTTCCTTTGAAGTACTTTTAAGTATACTCTTAAAATACATCTTGAATGACATACCATTATTCATTTCCATGTAGGATAAAACATATTCAAGGAGAGGAAGCGAAAACAAGTATATTAAATGACTTACTATTTGCTGGCAGAAGGTCCTGGTACAAAAGTCGGTCCTTGAATTTTCGAATGAGGCTGTATTTACTGCCCTTCTTCTCTAAGAAGGGTCATTTTAATAATTTTTGCTATCACATCAAAGACTCTTCATGATAATTATATTCAGTAATTGCAGTAGTTATGCTGTGTGCCATCTGCAGGCTCTGTGTAATGGAAACTAGGGAGAAAAACAGATCTCTGTACTTGGTGGGAGTTACCATGGAACCCCAGGCTTTGGTGCTAGGTCACCATTTGCATCAGCTGGAGGTGACTTTCCCATTATTGGGTAGTACTGGGTCTTGTACTTTCCTTTTCTTTCTTTCTCCCCTGGCCCATTTCAGCTATTTCTTTTGCTCTCACTTCTGTCTCTTAGTTGCTATAGTAGTGAACTACCCACCCTCTGTGATCACGGCCTGTCCTAAATTGACAAAAGGCCAGCCACATTCTGGGAGTGGTAGGTAATGGGACCATTTTGGGGTCCAAATGATGATGACAATAATTGCTTTATGGATTAATAAATAGTTGGCACATGGCCCTCAAAATTTACAGCAGCCAAGGTGGTAGCTTAGAGTATTGCTCCCAGCACACTAATCCAGTTGTGCTAAGCCAAAGAAAATTGACTGATAGTCTGAATTTGTGAGCAGTAGGTTTCCAGTTTGTCTATTTGTCAGATTTCTCAAGTGCCTGTGTCTCCACTAGATTCTATGGCAGACACCATCATTCTACAGCAGCTCCAGTTCCAGCCTTTCTCCCTTCATCCCTGCCCAAAGCGGAAATGAAAACATGTAGTCCTTCCTTCTTGGTGATCTGACAGTTCTTTAGGAAAGAGAGCAAGGTCACTTCCAGGCACTGTCTACATATCTGCACTGGCTCTATGGTGTTGTAGTGATTGAGAGGCCCCTGTCTGGTTATGTGTGTATCTGAAGATTGCCAGAAACTGAACAGATCTGTAGGGACTTGAGTAAATGAGTGTTTGTCTTTGTTCTCTATAATTTCTGTTTTGTTCGAAAACTATCATGATCAGCATCATCATCATCATTATTGTGTGCTAGATGTGGAACCCAAACCTGCCCCCGCCCACGGAAAGTGGCTTACAACTAAACCACATCCCT